GAAGTCTGCTGTCCTAAAATTGTCTCTGTGCATGTTGTTTCACTCCTTAAGATTTTCTCTTTGTCACTGGTTACGTGGACTTTAATTAGTTGCACTAGGGTACTTTCTTCATAATTCTTATTTATTGAGGTTGTTGGTTCTGTGGGATTATGATTTCAACCTGTTTTTCTTCAATATGTTTCTTTAATTTAATTTTTTTAATTGAATCACAGTAAGATATAGTTCCAAAGTTGTTCGTGATTGGGTTTCAGTCATATAATGTTCCAACACCTGTCCCTTCACCAGTGTACATTTCCCACCACCAATGCTCCCAGTTTCCCTCCCGTGCTCCCCCCACTTGCCCTCTCCCTCTCCCCCATCTCTCTCCCTCTCTCTTTCCCTCCCTCCCTCTCCCCCTCTCTTTCCTCTCCCCACTCCCTCCCTTTTTTGGCCTTATGGTTTGCAATACAGATACTGAAAGGTTATCAGGTATATCCCTTTACCTAATTTCAACACTGTTCCTGTCCAAAATGGTCACTTCCAACTATTACTGGTCCCTTCTCTATCCTAACTCCCCTTTTCTCCCCAGTCTCTCTGTGGCAAGCTTCCAACCACTGACCAGTCCTCCTGGCCCTGGTTTTCCCTGGCCTTGGATATATGTTTCATAATATTAATATCACAAATCACGACAAATCACGAATCACGATTGCCTCAAGCAGGCCCCAGTAATGTCTCCTTCATCCAAGCCCTGAGATTATATTCAAGGCTCTTTAGGAGAATGAGACCCATCATTGTTACTGGTATTTGGCATATTGGGTACGCCACGGGAAGTTTGCCAGACTCTGCCGTGTGGGCAGGCTACATTCGGTAGCCTGCCAGTTTGTCCAAAGTAGGAATGAGATAATAAGATGTCATAATAAGATAATATTAATATATATGCATACATACATGGGACTAGAGCGATAGCACAGCAGTAGGGCATTTGCCTTGCAAGCAGCCAGCCTGGCTGAGCCAGGTTCGATTCCTCCACCCCTCTCGGAGAGCCTGGCAAGCTACCAAGAGTATCTCGCCTGCAGAGCAAAGCCTGGCAAGCTACCCGTGACATATTCAATATGCCAAACACAGTAACAAGAAGTCTCACAATGGAGACATTACTGGGCCTGCTCGAGCAAATCGATGAACACCAGGAGGACAGTGCTACAGTGCTACAGTATACATACATATATATAACCCACAAATGAATAGTTTTCTTTAATATGCTTTATGCCTTTAATAATTCAATTTTATTTATATGATGCCACTGCAAGCTATTCCTGTATGCCAATGGACATTGCCCTGATATTTTTGCATTTCTGGTAGGTACTATTGCTGAGCATTCAAACTCAACAACTTTCTCTTAGTTATATAAAATGTATTTTTCACTGAGCTATTTTTGGCATCTACAGGCTCATTTTTTTTTCACTTCCATGTCTCTGCTCACCAAGCTCATGTTCCCTCTACCTCTTCAACATATGATACATACATAAATACAAAAACTATTATTTTGATGCATTTGATATACTCTTTTATCTGTGCCATTCATTCATCTATTTTAGTTTATTGGGGTGGGGGTATTGGGCCACACGAGGCCATGCTCAGGGCTCACCCCTTCCTGCACTCAAGAATCACTCCTGGCAGGCTCAGGGGACCGTCGGATACAAGTCGTACCTGGCTTTGCTGTGTCCAAGGCGAGCACCTACCCACTGAATGGTCATTCTGGCCCCATATTCGGACTGATATTTTTTACCCTTTGAGGGATTGTATATTTTTGGGTTTTGTGCCAGCTAGTATTTTACTAGAAACCAATTATTGTGAATTTCATTTCATCATACAATAAATATTTTTATATTACTGTAAATATTATTGAACTTGATTCTGAAATAACTAAGTTACTTGGAAACAATGAGTCTTCTAGAGCTCGCCAAGCTTTGTTTGTTGGTATCCTCCACAGCTGTGAGTTTGGCCACAATCACTGATGTCCCTGAAGCTGCATCCTTCTGAGATCCTTATTGTATGTACCAAGCGGTACACGTATTATATTTTTTTACACCGATTGATGGGAACACAAATATCCCCCATTTCTTTTTTTTTTGGGGGGGGGAGTAGTCCTTTGCTCAAGTTTGGATTATCTCCTCTTATGTATTATTTCCTCCTACCTGAAAACATAAAGAAAAATCAAATCCAGTGTAGACTCCTGTAACTCCCACACTCATTTACCTCTTCTCCAGCTCACTCTTCTCCATACAGCTCCTGCTTCTTTTCTACAAACTTTAGCCAGATTGGCCTTGGCCAATCTACAAATCTTTCTGGTGCACTGAGGGACTTCGCAACTCTCTGGACCTACCTTGGCAGTGGGCATATTCCAGGTAGTGAGCTAGTGCTAGAAGAGGGCTCACCTGGTCTTCCTTCTCTTGGGAATCATTGTCTACATTGTCTTGGTTCGATTTCAGAATGTCACTATATGTTCATTCTCTTTGATTGCTTTTTAAGATGAGACAGTAGAAATCGCCCTGCTACTCCATCTGAGCAAGAGGCAAAAAACTTCACACGTATTCTTCATGGCTACTCAAATTCTATACATCTACAACTAAATGAATTTCAACCTCCTTCCAACGCCTAATTTTTCCAAGGCACTGTTCTAAAAGAAACAGGAGAATATCACCTGTTGGAAGAAAATGCAGTGTCTATAGTATACTGTTGTGCCATAAACCCACATCCAAACAAGGAGCCAACAGTTTTGAAATTATGCTTTTCCAAATGCCATCATTTAATCAGCCACCAAAATTCCCTCTAGTCCCACAGCCAGCACTCTTTTCTCCTGGATAGCTGCAATGGATTTGCGACTGTCTTCTGTTTGAAAGCCACCCGTCCCCAATATATGATTTATGCAAAAGCCAGCAGCATAAAACCTTCCTCTAAAAACAAATGTCATCAGCAGTAACAATTCACTGCAAACATAACTGATGTTACTTAATGGGTTTATTATAACAATATAGGTATAGTAATTCAATATTCTTTCATGACTCTGGCAGGATTAAATAAATTAGTGAATCAATAAGGAATACTGTGTTGAAATGGAATTGGGGGTAAAAATATAATTCAGTATAAACGTACAAACACATGTATACACATTTGTATCTATGCCTTGTGTGTATTTTCCTGTTGTATGTAAATATACAATGTGTTCATTTACATATACATATAAACTGTATTTGTTGCTTTCCCAATTCTGTCCATTGAAAGGTCCTAAAAGAAAGGAAACCTTGGTAACAAAAATACCAGAAAACAGAAACAGGAATTTAAAATAAAATATCCCCCAGAAAGGATTTCTTTTTTCTTGGAAAATGTGACTAATTCCAAGACTAAAAGAGAGAAAATACAACGTCTACAATATATTGTTATGCCATAAACTTAAGGAACTCAAAAATAAGAAAAAGGATCCAAGAGAAACAGATCAGTCTGAATAGGCTTCGAGTGAGCAAATATTGGAAATTATTTAAAAAATCTTCTAACTAAAGTTAGGAGGGGCTCAGAACCCTGAAGTGGTGCTGGAGACAGCCCATTTGCAGGGCAAGTGCCCTACCCACTGGACTATTTTTCTGCACGGGAAGAAAGTAGTGTTTTATTGGTTGTTGTTGTTTTTTTAGTGGAAAGTACTACTAATAAGTAGAGAAAATTAACATATTTATAAAATTACCATTTGCAGCCGTAACAGTTATGAATCATGCAAGAATACTGAATAGCTATTAAATAGTAAAAGGAAAAAAAGAACAGAATAATCTCAAAACACTATTCCACAAATTGCTGGTAATTATAAACTAAAATAACAGGTAATTTTAGAGTAGAGTGACCTGGTGGACATTCAGATAACATTATCATAATGGGGAAGACAGACACCGTGTTGCTTCTTCAGTTGTTTACTGAGAAAGCTACAATTAACTCCTGTGGTACTGCTTCTAAAGCTGAATCCAGAGTATCTAATCAATATCATGAAGGACAATGACACAGAACCTTACCAGAGTATAGGGTAAAGAGATATGAAAATAAAGAACCATGGATCAAGTTCTATTACTGAGAAAAAAGTTCTAAAAAGGAATGAGAGCAAAAACTGAACATGACAAAATAGTATCAAGTCAGCTTATATTTTAATTGATATAAAATTTATATTAATGTAATGAATATCCTTTAAATAATATGCATGGCTTATTGTAAATTCATTACATAATTGATTTTGTTCCAAGAACTACAACTATTAAGGGACAAAGGATACCCGGAACTAACTCTCAAGTTGTTAAAAAAAAATCATACACGTACATTTGCATACTTACTCTTTAAGCAATAAGCTGATAACTAAGAGCTCACCTAGCATCATATTGTTTCTCCTTGAAATATCAAGATGATGTATGCATACTCAAGGACTTGAGAACAAAAGCGGGTTTTTTCAGCTTCCAGCTGAAGCTAGGAAAAGCAACATTTCCAGCTGCATTTCCAGCATGATTCAGTGGCCACATATGCCACCTAGGCATTCCAGTATTTTGCTACTAGACACGGCCGTGGACAGAAATTGTGCTATAATTTTATATAAACCCCATATGCACGTACCCAAGTGAAATTCAGAACTTTCAAGAATCAGAATAGAGGAACTGGCCATTGAGATGAAGGAGTAGAACTAATTTTCAGTGTCCAGAGGGAAAGAAACTCAACCTTACACAAGCCTTGTGGCCAACAAACTGTATCAAGTAACTTAAGGATCCTTAGGGGCTACAGCGATATTACAGTGGGTAGCATGCTTGTCTGGTACACCACCAACCTGGGTGCCATCCCCAACACCACATGTGGTTCCCTGAGTCCCTGAGGACAAATCCAGGAGTCAGCCCTGAACAATGCCAGATGTGGCCCTCAAACCACAAAACAAAACAACAAGCAAACAGGGAATCTATACGGATGGAGGACTAAGGAAAGTATCTTCGAAAGGAATTGACCTCCGAGTCCGGGTCGCAGCCGGTTGTCATAGCCATCCAAAAGGCGGTCCAAGATGCGAGTGAAGATGGTGATATTGTCAGTGCTGTCATCTGGAATATCCGGGGCATGCTTAGGAGAGAGTCTGGGGAAATGGGTGAAAAAAAGACAAAAAAAACAGGCCTTTTAGTGCTTAAACACTTTAATTCAAGAAGATTTCAATCAAGAGGTCAACTTAATAGCTCTGTATCTTAAGCATACTAGGAAGTGCTCTCGATTTCTTAAAATGACCACTTGGTAAGAGGGACACATTTGCCTTTGTTTTTTTTTTTGCATGAGAATTTTTCTCTTATTTCCTTGAAAAGTTCTGTTTTTTAAAATTTTTATTAGTGAGAAACCATGAGGTACAGTTGTAGACTTACAAATTTTGTGCTTGGGTTTCAATTATACAATGATCAAATACACATCCCTCCACCAGTGCCCATTTCCCACCACCACGAATCCCAGTATCCTTCCCACCCCCCATCCTCCCCATCCCACCCTGCCTCTGTGGCAGAGCATTCCCTTTTGTTCTCTCTCTCCTTTTGTGCCTTGAGTATTTATTCCACCCCTGTTACAATCTTTCCCAAGCATATGGTCCACCTCTGACCCTTCAGTATAGGAACTCAAGCAGAAATTTTTTTTTACGAATGCCTCTCAGAACGGGACCTGCCATAAACCTGATTCAATACATTTTGTTGCATGAATGCATGGAACTTTTTTTTTTATAAACTCAACTTTTTAGAAAGAAAAAACTTGGAGAATTGATTTTGAATCTCATTTTTCTTAACTTTGTAAACCTAATGTATTCACCAATCATTCAGTGTATCATTCTTTTTTTTTTTTTTGCTTTTTGGGCCACACCTGGCGATGCACAGGGGTTACTCCTGGCTCTGCACTCAGGAGTTACTCCTGGCGGTGCTCAAGGGACATATGGGATGCTGGGAATCGAACCCGGGTTGGCCGCGTGCAAGGCAAATGCCCTATCCGTTGTGCTATCTTTCCAGCTCCCAGTGTATCATTCTTGAGCATCAATTACATGCTTGTCAATGTTCCAGGTGCTAGAACAGAAAAAAGGTAAAATAAGGTGAATAATCTTTTCCCTGTACTATGGCTATTGCAATAATCAAATGATTAAATAATTACACATGGACTTGGTCTAAGGAGTCTGAAGACATGCATGTGAAATTCCTGATGGTGTGAGGGAAGTTAAGTCCTGTCACACTTCTAGCAACGTCTAACAACACTGTTAGAATTAAAATGACTCAACAGGACCCTCCCAGGGTGGGAGAAGCATGCTAAAAGTCGTCTATAGACCAAACATGATTGCCACTCAATGCCTCTCTTGCAAAACACAGTACTCAAAAGAAGAGAGAGAGAACAAGGGGGAATACCCTGCCACAGAGGCAGGGTAGGACCGGGGAGATGAGGAGTGGGGGGGATGCTGGGACCCGTGGTGGTGGATGATGGGCACTGGTGGAGGGATGGGTACTTGATCATTGTATAACTGAAACCCAAGCACAAAATTTGTAAGTCTATAACTGTACCTCATGGTGTTTCACTAATAAAAAAAGAAAAAATTAAAAAAAATAAAAAATAAATAAAATGACTCAACAGCTATATTGTATTCATCTTAAATTACCAAAGTTAATGTTTATAATCTAGGGGTATTCATAGACTTCTCTTTTTTAAAAAATAATTTATGTATTTGAATGTAATATTCAAATGTAAATAGTAACAAAAAATATTGGCATCTCCATCAGCCAAAAGCTATAAGGAAAGCTTTTACCAGTTACTACAACCTAGTAAACGGTAGAGACCACTGACCACATTAGAGACCAGAGCATTGAAAGTGATTGGAGCGATGAGCATTCTTGACTGGGAAAGAGGAAGAAAGAACAGTGCAGAGCTAACACACGCACAAACTGTAGACAAGATTAGAGAGAGCCCATCAGGGGCAGCGCGCGGCTATCCTGAATCTACTTTGCGTGGGCTATCACGAGAGTGGCTGTGGGAAATCAATGGATTTTGTGCAAATCTCTTTTCCTCATTATCTTAACCCTCATTATGGGTAATCTTGACTCTGGTTAGCCTAATTTGGTTTTTTGACTTTGTAATTGAATGAATAAATACTTCTTTGATTTCTGGAAGGAATTTGAAAGGAAAATTCTCACAGTCAAAGATGAGCTATAACACAGAAAGATTTATAGAAAGGAATTTAAAAGCCCCTAAGCATAACTTTTAAACATCCTGAATGTTAACTGGAGAATTAAAAATTGGATTCAGAATTTCTGAGTATAAAATCAATAGCCTCTTACTAACTTAGAGTCAATGCTTTTCCATCCCTTACTGACTCTGTATTGATATGTGTTAGCAACAGCCTATGCTAATAACTTCAAAACTTTCAGGTCAAATATCACTTTTAAGTCAAAATATTACTGCAGAGCAGTAGCCAATAGATTCCTCTATGATTTGACTTGACCATTGATAACAATTTTTCTGATGGGCACACTAAATTACTGCTCTATGACACGAGAGTCAGTTTAACCTACAGCCCAAATAACTGCATTCTTTTCTATAATTTAACAGCAATAAATTTAAGATTCTATTGCGTGTGCCCCTCTTAAGGTAATACAAGGGCACAGAGAAGAATCAGGATGCCTCAAAATGGAAACCTTTGAGACCAAATAGTTATTTCTCCTCATTCTACAAATAGAGCACCTGAAATGAGAGAAAGGACGTATTCAAAGCCACATACATATTGAGTTGATTAAAATAATAGCCAACACTACTGTGTCCCACACTTATTATTACTTTTTGCAATAAAAATGATAGCAATTCATCACTGCGAAATGGAAATGATGTTACTAATTCACTCGGTGTAGGTTATGCAGGTTTAGTCATTATTCTAGTTCCCATGTCGAAAAAATGATAGGCTAGAATCAAATGATCAGAGTTTTTGGCATGGCTATATTTAGTTCTGAGAAAATTCGCTTCATCTAAAGGATGGCAGTTCTCCTAATGATGTTTATCTCCTGTGGAAAAAAAGATTTTCAAAAATTAAGAAGATTCAAAATTACAGTGTAGAGGGAACTCGATGACTGCAGCCCTTGACTCCTACACACGCTGCTACAAATTGGAGAAAACATCTCTGGGGAAAGTTTTGGTAATAAAGCAGAAGCAGTAAGAACCTATTAGGTCAAAAAATCAAGACGAGTGGCAAAGGAGAAGGGCAGATACACACTCCCTGTGTCTGCCCAATTTTCTAGTCAGAAGCTGGGGGTAGGGAAATGAAAGTCAAGCTTGGACCACAAAGAAGGAAGAGCAGGAGATCAGCACCCGGGACTCCGCAACCTTTGCTGCTGAGGGGTCCAGAGCCATCACTAACGCGGTTGTCAACTCATGGAGCAGACACGTGTGTGCTTGAGACAAGGCGGAGCCTCAGTGCTCCATTTTCTATTACTTCCGGTTCCTCAGGACTATGCACCAAAGAAGAACAGAGTTGCCCCTGCTTTGCACCCACGTCTGACCTCGGGGGGGATAGTTCTAGTGCCCTGAACCCTGCCCTAACAGTCCCAGGGCATGTTTCAGCCGCCAGTGTCCAGACTTGGCTCTCCGCCACTGCTCTGAGACAGGTTGTCTGGGTCCGAGTCCCGTTTGCCTCCATCGGCGTCTGTCAGCCCGGGCTGATGCCTCTCTGATGCCTAGCCACCAGTTTCCATATCACATCTTGGGTCTTCATGGCAAGGGAAGTACCCCCCCAGACTCTGGCCTCATTGCTGAAATGGGCCCTGGCTGCCCTAAACTCTTCCCTCGAGTTCCAGATCACGGCCCTGACCCACCACGCCCCATGATGCTGCAGTTACCCTGAGCTCCCTCTTGCATCATCCCTGGGACCGCAATTCCTCCAGCTCCACCATCCATGCTACATGGGAGCTTCACCCGTCACTCTCAATTCAGGGATGTGATGGATTCATCGTGGCTGGGGCCAGGCTGTCACTGCCCCATCCCCGTGCCCCAGGAATCCAGTCTCCTTTCCGGGGTCATGCTGTCAGACCTCGGTGTCCAGTGCTTTGGGTCCCCAATTCTGATCAGACAGCCCGGGAGTTCTGCCGTACTCATGCGACTCAGCCAGGAGGTGGAGTCCGGAGCACTGTTACGTAGTTCCTGGGCCAAGTCACAGCTCTGCTTTGTCATTCCAAGATATTGCTGCATTTCCCCCTACAATATCCAAAGTAACAGTGGGAAGCCTCTGGGACCACCCAAATATGATTCCCTCGGGCACCCCCCCCCCCCGGCCCCACACACACCAGGATCAGTTACAGCTGAGGTACCCAGACCCCATGACTCAGGCACCGGTGATCAAACACTGACTCCAACATTGTGTTAAGGGCTCAGAACATCTGGAGTCCAGAAAGAGGATCCCTTTCACTCTACCTTGCTCCAGTGTCGGGGGGAGGAAGAGAACAGAAAGAAACTACCATCCGTAGCTTCTGGAAACCCCAGGAACATTCCCTGGCCTGCCACTGGCCACAGAAAGGCCCCTTGATCCGCTCAGGGCAGTGCCGGAGACGATGGTCAGTGTGAGGATGAAAAAGGCCTGACCCTGAGAACCTGAGAAGTAGCAAACCACGTGGCTGAGCTCCCTTCTGGCCCAGTCCAGATGCAAGTCCTTCCTGTTGTCGTCCAAATAGACAGGAAGAAACGAGCGTGGCCACAAACACGGGTGCCACACACACACACCCAGCAGGAAGAAGAGACAGGACAGCAAAGAAAGCGCCACCAAAAAAAGCCCAACAAAATGACTATTAACTGGCCACAAAGAAACAAACATTAGTGTGCTATCTGAAAGATAATTTTAAAAAGAATGTTTTAAGGAAGCTCAGCAAGTTTCAGAACACAGATAAACAAACCAGTGAACTCAGGAAAGCGACACGTGAGCAAAATGAGAAATTAAACAAAGAAAGAGAAATAACCATAGAAGAAGCAAATCCTGGAGAATACAATGAGATAAATGAAAAATGCAATCACTTTAATAATAGGCTCAATCAAGGAGAAGAATCTGTGGGTGTAAAGAGAGATCTCTTGATGTTACACAGTTAGATT